TGTGTGTGTGTGTGTGTGTGTCTGAGAAGTGGGGTTGTGGCAGCCTGCTTTGGGTGACCTCTGACCACTCCCGCCTCATCTGTCATGGATCTGGGCACAAGGTGGGGGGCCATCAAGGCCCACAACCCTGGGTGACCCTCCAGCCTACAGTTACCCACCTTGGACCCAGTTCTCTTCATCTCTCCCCACCACAGGATGAGAACATGGTGAGCTTCATCAAGGGCGGCATCAAAGTTCGAAACAGCTACCAGACATACAAGTAAGCGGGGCCAGCCTGTAGGGAGCTGGAAGCCTGGGGCCAAGGAGTCTCTCACCCATCCTCTCAGACTGCATTGTGGGAGACCCGAGGTTTAAAAAAACCGGGAGCTCAAACAGATTTCTGTACCTTCAAAACCTCCGTTTTCTGGAATAATGCTCTGGTTTTCTGGCTATACTTGTATGATTGGCTTCTTGAATGCCTTGTCTCTTGGGGAAGAAGATGACCCAGAGTCTACACAAACAGCCTGGGCTGGTGGGCAGGGAGGCAGACGGACAGAGGACTTCAGGGAACAGCAGCAGAACTGCATACAGATCCGTAAAGGCCCAAATGCTGCTTTTCCTAGAAAATCTTCCTTGACCTTTTTAACATGCAGGGATAGCACGTTGTGTACACACACACACACACACACACACACACACACACACACACACAGATGTATGCTCCCTGTCTTGGAGTGTTTCTATTGCTGTGAAGAGATACCATGACCATGGCAACTCTTCTAAAGGAAAAATATTTAATTGGGATAACTCACATTTTCAGAGGTTTAGTCTGTTATCCATCATGGTGTGATATGGTGGGGTGCAGGCAGACACTGTGCTGGAGAAAGAGATAAGGGTCCTACAGTTTGACCTGGAGGCAGCAGGAAGTGGTCTGAGACATTGGGCGTGGCTTGAGCATAGAGGAGCCCCCTCCCCCACGGTGACACACTTCTCCAACAAGGCCACACCTACTCTGTCAACAAAGCCACACCTCCTAATAGTTCCCCTCCTGCTGAAATAATTTCCACACTAGGTCTGGGTCCCTGACAAAAGTCTCTGGGCCAGGGACAAGGTGTGCTGATGGTTAAAAGCTTGAGGACAGCCCAGAGCACTTTTACCCAGTACTGTCCCTTATCTACAAGTCTGAAATCAGATAAAGCTTCTGCAAACCCAGCTCTCCCTCCCTCCCCTAAGTTATACATTCGAACTTATTTCCCATTACACTTTGAGAACTCTTTACCTCCCCCACCAGGGTGACAGTTCCCTGCCCAGGACACCAAAAAGCTTGTGCTGGAATTGTCCAGGGACAACTAGACAGGTGCTTCAGTCCCTCCAATGTCCTTGCCAGCTTCCAGAATGGTGACTGCAGAGCACACACCTGGTCAGGCCACCCCTCCCGACTCCCGAGGCCCCTCTTGCTTACAGAGTGGAGCCCCCCCCCCATCTTTACTGCCTCTCCCACATCACTCTGCTGCAGACCTTTAGGTCTGCCCTCAGCTCTCAGATATGCCAAGCTCATCTGTGCCTCACAGCTTTTGGACATGTTGTCTCTGTCAGAACAGTCACCAGGCCAGTTCCAGTTCACCTCCCAGGTTCTAGCTCCCAGCTCTCTCCTCCCAGGTTCTAGGTCACACATCTCCTCCCAGGTTCTAGCTCCCAGGTCTCCTCCCAGGTTCTAGCTCCCAGGTCTCCTCCCAGGTTCTAGGTCACACATCTCCTCCCAGGTTCTAGCTAACATGTCACCTCTCCACTTAAATACTATCTGAAAAAAACCTCATTATCCCCAAACTAAGTCCAGCCCCAGGGTTCTTTTCCTTTCAAGAGACTGGTGGAGACTGTCCTCTAAAGGCTAGAGCTGTGGGGACAGGGTGAGGCTATTGTGATCCCTGCTGCCTTCTAGTGCCTGGTACAGAGAAGCCTGGGGGTGATGGCTGCCTAGAAAGCCTCTGTGCCGTTGGTACCTAGGAGAAAGAGGGTTGGATTCCAGCCAAGTGAACGCCAAGGAAACGTCCTGGGGGACAAGGTGTTTGTACCTGCCCAGTGGTTCTCATCTGGGGTGTCTGCACCCCCTGTCAGACACTGCTCCAGAGACATCCTGGTTGTCCCACTGAGGAGAGGCTCCTGCTCACACCCAGAGGGAGGAGGGCAGGAGTGTCTTCAACATCCTACACTGGCAACAGGTCCTCTCCTTTCCCCCAGTAAAGAACTATCCAGCCTAAGAGGGCAGATGAGGCGGGTGGAGGGTATTGTACCACTGGGGACACAATATGGTGCCGTTTCGGGGTGAGGAACATGCATCTGTGGTGGTAGACAAGAGGGAAGTTCATTGAGCATCAGCTCTCTGGGTCTGGAGACTCTCAATCCACCACTGTTGAGTTCTGGGTCCACCCTGTCAGGGAGGAGGGGGTGGACCAGCCTGGCTCCCGCATACAGCTAAGCAGCACCCTTCCCACAGGGAACTGGATAGCCTGGTCCAGTCCTCCCAGTACTGCAGAGGAGAGAGCCACAGGCACTTTGAAGGAGGAGTGAAGCTCGGTGTAGGCGCCTTCAACCTGGTGAGTAGGAGCCCCTCCTTTCTTCAGGGTCTGGGCCCCAGATACAGTTCCCCTGCATGTCCTGGTCCCGCACAAGGTCACCCCTGTGTGCCACTGTGCCTGGCTGCGTGCTAGGCATGGGACCTAGAGATGATTCTTGAATATTACCAGCCTTAAGGGGCTCAAGCTGGGGTGTCACATAGGGTGACCCCCTTTAGAGAGTCTACATGTGCATCTTGTGCCTCCCCGGTAGCTTGAACCCCTGAGAAGGTAACTGTAGCCATAGACATTGACAACCCCAGAAACTCAGACCACTTCTGGCCCAGATTGCTGGCTGTCAAGCACTTCCCAGGGGAAAGGAGAGGCCTGGAAGCAGCTGTAACCCACAGGGGACAGGGATCCAAGTTCTCTTCAGGGCCACTGGAGAGAGTGCCTGGGGAGGGAGATAAGCATTGCATCGACTCTTAGATCCATCAAGAGTTCAGGCCATGCCAGGCAGAAGGAGCAGCGTGGGCTGGGTTGGAGCACCACAGAAATGCTGAGCCTGGCTGTGAGGGAAGGGGCTGGTCCTGGGAGATGGTGTAAAGACTGGCATGGGTCTGGAAGAGGTGGCCACCCTCTCCTACCTGGGTAAAGGGCTAGCTGTGGGTGGGGTCCTCTGACTTTCCCGAGGATGCCCTCCACACACCCACCGCCTCTGATCCCGCAGACGCTGTCCATGCTCCCCACTAGGATCCTGAGGCTGCTCGAGTTTGTTGGGTTTTCAGGAAATAAGGTAACTGCCAAACTTTGGGCACCCACCATCTGCCCAGTCCAGGGCTGGAGCTGGGCCAGACAGAGTGGGGCTGAGGGACCATGGGGCCTGGGGCCTGTCCTGGCTTAGATCCCTCTCTGTGTGTGGCCCTGGGGAGAGTCTAGACCTCTCTGAGATGAAGCCTTCCCTCGGGGTTTGTGAAGGCACAGATCTCTCTCTGTCTATTATCTTGCAGGGTAGAGGACTGTGTGATAAGGGCAGATGAGAGGGCAGCCCCATAGGGGCCAGAGGCCACACTGTCTTTCCATGACATGTGTCAGGACCCCAGTCTTTCCCCATGGGTCACCTGCTCACTTCAAGGCCTTGAGCTAGGCCCTTTGTCCAAGGTCAGCTTTTGGTGCTTCTGCTTCATCTGTGAGTGTTCAGGGAGCCCTGTGCATCCAACCTTGAGAGGAACCAGGGGACTCACTGAGGCCAAGACCTGGCACACAGGCAGGGGCTGGAGGAAGCAGACCGAGGCAGCCCCCTTGAGGAGGTCACCAGTGTGGTGGAAGGAACACTGTCCAGGAAGTAACAGTTGTCCCCAGCCTCCTCCTCTCCTCCCTGTGACCCTGGGCAATTCCCTTTTTCCCATGAGCCTCCTCTCTGTAAAAATAAGAGGCTCCACATTGTCCTGCAGATGCTGGTGTGTGTTCTCTCTGGCCCTTCCTGATATCCTATATGTATGTGAATCCCTGCTTTTTGGTTTAACCTGTTATTTGTCCCCAAAATGACATTTCTTTTCACATATACAGTGTTCTGCCTGCATGTATGTCTGCACACCAGAAGAGGGCACCAGATCTCATTACAGATGGTTGTGAGCCACCATGTGGTTGCTGGGAATTGAATTCAGGACCTCTGGAAGAGCAACCATTGCTCTTAACCTCTGAGCCATCTCTCCAACCCAATGATGTCATTTTTAAAGGAAATGTTATTATACAATATCCATCTTTGCTTTTTTTTTTTTTTTTGTATTTTGAGGCAGGGTTTCTCTTTGTAATAGCTCTGGCTGTCCTGGAACTCGCCCTGTAGACCAGGCTGGTCTTGAACTCACAGAGATCCACCTGCCTTAGCCTCCTGCCTTAGCCTCCTGAGGATTAAAGGCGTGCACCACCACTGTCCGGCAAAACCCATCTTATTTAACCATGAAAAAAAGCGTTAGGAGTGCCATACAGAGCCAGGCATGATGGTGCACAACACTCAGGATGCAGAAGCAGAGGCAGGAGGATCTCTGAGTTTAAGGCCAGCAGCCTGGTCTATATAGTGGGTTTTAGGGCAGTTAGAGATATGGTGAGACCCTGTCTCAACAAACAAAACCAAACAGTGCCGCATAACAGTCTTCAGAAATAGATGTGGGGGCTGGAGAGATGGCTCAGAGGCTAAGAGCACCGACTGTTCTTCCAGAGGTCCTGAGTTCAATTCCCAGCACCCACATGGTGGCTCACAACCATCTGTAATGAGATCTGGCACCCTCTTCTGTGTACATAATAAATAAAAAAATGTTTAAAAAAAAAAAAAACAGATGTGGGGTTGGCCACGCTCAGCCTGTGCGGCTTCTCCTTATGGGTGAGAGCTGAGCTCTATGTGAACCCAGATCTGGGCCTTCTTTGGGGCACCATCAAAAGGACAGAGCACAAAGGCGGGAAACAGGCCACAAGGCTCAGTGCCTGCTAAGGCCCATCCTTGGCCCTGGGAAATCCCGTCTGTGGTCCACAGCTGGAGGCTCTGGGGGCTGGTGGGTTGCTCCCTAGAGCAGGCAGTTGGGCAGGTGGTCTCAGGAAGGCTGAGGTGGGAAGGTCCACCCTACCCTGCAGCTGCAGGTTGGGTGGAGCCTGTCCCAGACCAGGGCAGCTGTGGAGGGTTTGAGCAGGCCAGGCCTGTATTTGAGGAAAGGGCATGAATACTGAGGAAGGTAGATGGAGGGCAGAGACTACACACACAGGTTGGGTCTGGTCCCAGTGAGGGTCTGGAACAGTCTCCCCCGGGAAGCTTTTCTGGGACCCAGGCTTCTTCCCAGCACCGACTTGTAGTTAGGGTCGTTTTCCTGGCGTCATTCCTCCTCCTAAGCAGACAGGGCAGCTTGGCTGCCATGCCCATGACACGGTCAGGACTACGTGGGCGCGAGGGCAGCCCTCGGCTCGGGATCGCAATCCTGGCACCGCCGCCCCGGCCTCCGGAGAGAACGGTCTGTCTCATAACTGCCCACCTGGGTCCCGCGATTCTCTGGGAACCCCATCCTATGATCTTGTCCCCCCAGGACTACGGGCTGCTGCAGCTGGAGGAGGGCGCGGCAGGGCACAGCTTCCGCGCAGTGCTGTGTGTCATGCTGCTGCTGTGTTACCACACCTTCCTCACCTTCGTGCTCGGTAGGGAGACCCGGGGTGCCGGGGTGCCGGGGTGCCGGGGTGGCGGGCTCCTGGGTGAGAGGCTGACCCTGCTCGGGCGCCCAGGACTGGGGCCGAGCCCGGTCAGCGGGCCTGCTGCACCCGGCCTGTTGAACCTCCACTTACTCTCTGTGCAGGTTCCCGCTGTGAAATGGGGGTGATTGCTCCACCTTGTGGAAGGTGTGAAGATGCTGTCCCTTGTTCTACATGCAGACTCAGAAATGGCCTCCAGGTTGTTGAGCCTGTGATGTGTCGGGACAGTATCCACACTAATTTATTCAAGCCTCCTGTCACTCTAGAGATAGGGAGAATCGTGCCATTTCACAGAGGGAAAGGCAGAGGCCCCAAGAAAGCCTTGGCAGGCTTCTAGGAGGAAGACAGGTCCCAACAACGGTAACCTGAGCAATGCATCTCCTTGCCACCTGCAGGTACTGGGAATGTCAACATCGAGGAGGCAGAGAAGCTGCTGAAGCCCTACCTGAACCGATACCCCAAGGTGAGAGCAACCTCCGCTGGCCACCCCACCCCATCCTACCTGTACCCAGTGGACACACACAGATCCTCATGGGTGTCATTGCAGGGTGCCATCTTCCTGTTCTTTGCTGGGCGGATTGAAGCTATCAAAGGAAATATTGACGCCGTGAGTGATGTGGGGGCCTCTTGGGATGCCCCAGCCAGACACATACAAGCGTTCTTGGGGGCAGGGTGAGCCCATGAAAGAGCAGGGGTGTGAGAGGCACTCCTGACTGGGGTGGTCTGGGAGGAGGGAGGCCGTAGGCTTTTGATAGAGAGATATGGAGCATTCCTGGTCAGGAAAAGCTGCTGTCCAGGGCATGGTGACTAGGCTGGATGTGGTGAATAGGGTGGTGGTGGTCGGGGGGAGTGAGCTAGGAAGGGAAAGAACCATGGAAAGGGCAGGACAGGGCAGGTCACAGTCAGGGCCAGGTCCGGAGCACTGTGCCGATGTGGAGGACGACATTGTAGAGTCCCGGACGTCTCCAGCCAGTCTTACACCAGGGTAAATCCCCAGGTGTGGGTAACCATGGAAACGACTAGAATCTTTGGTATTTTCTCTGAGGTGCAGACATTACATCAGTGTAATACTAACACCCTCTGGGGCTGGGTAGATGGCACACAAGGAGACAACCCGAGTTTAGTCCCTAGCACCCACGTGAAAAAGTCACGCATGGTGGCACATGCTTGGAATCCCGGTCCTGGGGGGTGGGGGTGGGTAGGTCCCTGAGATTTGCTAGCCAGCCTAACCTAACTGGGGAGCCTCGGGTGTCAGTGAGAAGCCCTGTCTCAAAACAAAGAGGGACAGCTCCTGAGGAGCGGCACTTGAGGTTGACCCCGGCCTCGACCCACGTCCATGTACACACCAATGCCAACATTGCAGGATTAACACCCTGTTCTTCCTGTCCTGTCCCCGCCAACACACACACACACACACACACACACACACACACACACACACCCCAGTGTGCTCTGTTCCATGCTTTCATTTAGTGACAAACTCTCAAAAAGAAACAATCACAGGCCTGTAGCCGATTAGAGCCAGGACAGGAAGCCAGATTCCCTCTTCTCCTAGACAGCTGGTGCAGTTGTGGACCACCATGCCTCAGGGGAGGCCATCCCTGCGGTGGCACTAAAGGGTGCGGAGGGTGCTGGGGCTGGGTGGGCCCTCCATAGGCTGACCTGCCGCTGCCCACAGGCCATCCGGCGCTTCGAGGAGTGCTGTGAGGCCCAGCAGCGCTGGAAACAGTTCCACCACATGTGCTACTGGGAGCTCATGTGGTGCTTCACCTACAAGGGCCAGTGGAAGATGGCCTACTTCTACGCTGACCTGCTGAGCAAGGAGAACTCCTGGTCCAAGGTGGGCTGACACTGTGGGTCAGGGCATTGGGTGGCCAGGGCTCACCCAGGCAGGCCAAGGAGTCCCTGAACTGAGGGCCAAAGCTCTGACTGAACCCAGATGTGTCTGTCCACTGGGATCTAAAGAGAACCAGGTGTTTGACTAGGACCTGGGGTTGGGAAGCGTTGAAAGCTGGGACAAGCAGAGAAGCTTGGCTTGGTGCTGGGCACTGAATCCGGGGCCTTGTCCGTCTGTTCTAAGCATCCCCTTGGTCACTGAGCCACCTCCCTCCAACCCTAAGGTGTCAGCACAGCTGTGTAGTGACAAGGAATAGAGACACGCCTCACACGTCTAAGCAGGTGCTGTCTCATAGTATGGTAGCTTCCAGCCACACGGACACACACATGGAACACTCCAGCACAACCAAGACACTGAAAGTTCACAGTGTATTTATTTTTAATCAGCCCCCGTGGCTCTAGTGGTCACTGGGATCAAACAGATGTAAAGCACCAGGCTCATCGGCTCATCTAACTGAACTCACTTAGCATCACCTGACTCCAGGGATTCAAACTGTATCATCTGCCTTTGCCACCCCACCTGCAGTTGAGGTCTCTCCTCAGACGTCCGTGTTCTGCAGACAACTTCTCTTCACATGGCAGGCCAGGTGGCCAGGGGCTGCCCCAAAATTACAGCTTCCCTTTAGTTTCAACCCAAGTCCACGGTTAAGCCTCACACATCTCGTGTCAGCATCTAAAACAGGCGGGAAGGTTCTTTTCTGGAATGAGAGTAGCAAAGAGAGGTGTGTTTTCAGAAGGAAAATGGGGTGATGTGACTGGAAGAGGTGTGGGCGTGAGAGAGAACAGAGGGAGGAAATGGCAGTGTGGCAGATGTGCCATGTAGGCCAAATCAAGCGAAGCCTGTATCTGCCCAACACAGACAGCCAGACTCATCAAACAGTGCCGACATGCTGCATCGTGCTAGGATTAGTGGGAGTCTTACGGAACTCTAAAGCAAGCGTCTTCAGTGTCCAGTCTGATACATCGCACACCTACCCCATGACTTTATCCCTTGTCCACCGCAGATCTTGCTAATCAATCCTGGCACCCTCCCATGACCTTTGAAGCCTCGTGAAGAACTCCAGGCAGTTGTTAGAACAGCTCTGTCCTGACACATATCATGAGATCTACTTGTCGTCTGCATTCCATTTCCTTCTCACTCTGCCTACGCGTGGCTGTGGCCTCCGTGCTCTTTACCGGGAACCACGCTGAAGAGAAATCCTGGGGCAGGTGGAACTCGGAGGGAGCAGGTCCCCTGAGTAATCACTGTGTCTCTAGCTTTGTCTTTGTTCATTTTTCACCCAGTAAGGTAGAAGAGAGCAACCCCATTGTTTGGGAAGCAGTGGATTTGAGGTCATTCCCATGAGACTGTTCTCTTGACTGCTCAAGTCCTCCAGAGGAGGCTGGGTTTGCCTGGAGGCCTCCTGCTGTTGAAGGTGCGTCCTCAGGGCCTAGCTCTGGGGCCACATCTGTTCCTCCTTGTTCCCCATTCCCAACAAGAACAAAGAATCTTTCCTGTGGAGTGAGGGCAGGCAGCAGGATCTGCCCACATGGGAACAGGGAGACCTGATGTGACTCACAGCTACGGTGAGGTGCAGTGGGCAGGCCAGACTTCCTAGGCGTGGGGAAGTTAAGTCTGTTGTGAGAAACACTTCCCTGTGTGACTGTGGGGTAGTGAGATTTCCTCAGTCTGCAGTTAACTTCCTCAGGTAGGTTTCTTAGGAAAAATGGCCTTAGTTCCAGGGCCTGATCCCTTCCTGTTCTCCAGCACCGGACCACCACAGCATCCTTCAGCTTCCAACTCTAGGGATTTATTTGCCTGTGGACATTGCCATATATGCCAGCTCCCATATTCAGCTCCTTCTCTGCCTGGATCATTGAAAGTTCACCCTGTGGAGACTTTGAGTTTGCCCAGAGCTTGCAGCCTAGGGCCAAAATGGTAGGAATTTGACGGTGACGCTGCTCAGTCCTATAAAGGCAGCCTCGGAAGACCCAGCCAAGGGGACAAAGGGCTGATTCAGGAAGGCAAGATCTTTGAGCAGAGTCAAGGAGGATGATTTAGGGAGAAAATGAGAGGACAGACCGAACCCAGAGCAAGAAACAAAGGCTGGGGGTGAGGGCACCGCCCAGAGGTTCTGTGTTCACTGGGTGAGGGCTTGTGGCCTGAGAGTTGAGAGGGGGTGCTGGAGGCGTGGCCCTCTGCTGACTACTTGCCGGAGGCTTACAGACAGGCACTGCCTGCTTGGCACAGCCTGGGTTTCCTACTCCAATGAGGTAAACATCTGTGGAGTTAGAGGGTAAACATTTGACCCCAGGGAGAAGGGACTCAGATCAGAAAGGTGACTGTGGTCCCCATGATGTCCTTGGATGACTTGTCTGTTCACAAGTCACTGTAAACCCCAGCCTGACTGTGGCTGTACAGCGAGGGTGAGAGAGGTCTATTGGGGTGGGGTGGGGGTGTCTTAGGCTCTTAGAGCCTAAGAGAGAATGTGTCTTCACAGGCAAAGGCCCCTAAGGGCTGTGGAGGGATGGAGAAGAAACGGCATTAGATGATCCTAAGGAGGAGTTTGGGGCAGGTCGTGGAAGGTCTGAGAGGTTCTTTGGGCTATATTATAACTGTGGGGCAGAAAGACAAGGGGCGGGGAGAATGAGAGTGAGGAGAGGGAGAGGGGAGAAGAGAGGAGAGAGAGAGAGAGAAGGTCTCACTTAGCCCAGGCTGGCCTCAAACTTGCAATGAAGCAAAGAATGAACTCAGTAACTACTTGCCCACCTTCCCAGCTGCTGCGGTCACAGACATGTATAACCATGCCTGGATCCTAACTTATTTGTTAATTGGTTGATTTGTCAGACAAACCTTTTGTTTGTATGTTTGTTTTGAGACAAGATTTCTCCATGTAGCTCTGGTGTCCTGGAGCTCACTCTGTAGACTAGGTTGACCTCAAACTCACGGAGACCCACCTGCCTCTGCCTCCCAAGTGCTGGGATTAAAGGCGTGCGCCACCAACGCCCGGCTAAGACAAATCTTTTTAAAGCCATTTTTTTTTTTTTTAAAAAAAAAACAGACATCACAAGGTTTTTGACCTGGTTATTTCATGCTAATTAGAGGCCCTACTGTTGGCTTTAAATTCTTAGCTTAAAAACCTGAAAACTGTGTTTAGGGCAGTGTTCCAGTGAGAATGGTGTTCCTGGGGTTGGAGGAGGTTGTGGATTCTCTCCTTTGCTTATGAAACTGGTTTAGTATATATGTACTACTACCATTTCTTTATTAAGTTCAGAAGCTGTCTCAGGCATTTAAGCTAGAAGAAAAAAGCTAGCCAAGAGGTACCGTCCCTGGAACACCAGGGACAGGGGAGAGGTAGAGGGCACAGAGTGACGTCATGTTAAAGGTTCCATGAGAAGACTCCATTACACGCCCACAGAGACCAGCTTGGCCCCCAGTTTGACGCATAGGCCACCTTGACGCTCTGTGTTCCAGCATGGATGATGCAGGTGGAGATTCCAGGATCCCTTTCCTTCTCCACCTGTGTCTTGGCGACTGGCAGGTATTTTCCTGGGCAGCAGCCCTGGGAGAAAGCTTTTCAAAACTTGGCCACTTGAGGGCAGCCCAGAGGCAAACACCTCTAACCCTAACCCCAGTGCCTTCCTCGTGGGACTTGCTGATGGGGCCAGGTCACTCTGCAGCTCAGCAGTGCACCCCACTTTCCCTGTCAGGCGGCCTATGGATCTAGCAGGCACGGTCCTTTTAGACGTCTTCTTTAGGATGGACTGAGGTGACGGTGTAAAAGTGAGTGATGTAGGTCTACCACGGAGCCCTGCCAGGGTCCTGTTCACTCTTCCGGATGTATACCTCTTTCATAGAGTCCCTACGGTGTCCCGTGCATGTCCTACCTCTCCATTTCCACTCAGATGGGTACGGTACCCACGAGTCTCTGAATCTTCCCCTCATCCTTCAAGGGCCACCTGGGGTCACTGCTTCCCGGTGGCGCCCCTCCATGCTCACCCTGCCTCTGCCTTGGCTGAGCAGGCCTGCATGGTGCTTGGGTCTTTCTCTTGACGGAGTGAGTCAAGGTGAAGAGGAAGGCTGTTTGCAGGCACCTAACTCCCAGCTCAAGATTCCTCCGTTGCTTCGGTGACCTCCCCTGGGGACTTGGTGACCATACCTCTCTCTGCTGGACCACAGTGAGGGCCGAACACGGTGCTTGTGCCGGTGCGGGGCTGTGAGCGGAGGGAGGGTTGCTCCGGTCTCACTGTTGCTCTCTCCCATAGGCCACCTACATCTACATGAAGGCTGCCTACCTCAGCATGTTTGAGAAGGAAGACTACAAGCCATTCGGCGATGATGAAGTGGAGTTATTCAGGTCTGCCCCGCCATGGTGCTCCTGCTCTAGGTCTTCTGTGGACAGACCAGTTAGGTGCTGTTCTTGGCTGCCTGAGCTGGAGTGGTAGGAGAGGCACTCCCAGCTCTAAGTGCCCCGTGCCCTTACTCCCGTCTGGCCAGCACACCATGCCAGTGCTGCCGCTGGCTAGAATCCTTTGAATGTCTTTTGTCAGAATCTCCTAGCACTCATCTCTTTCATCTTGTCACTAGGACAGAGAAGGACACGGTATTAGTCACTTCCGATGCCCTGACAAAGCACTGCCACCAAGGCAGACTCATGGGAGAAAGTTTATTTTGGCTTAAGTTCCTAGAGGATGGCATCATGGCAGGGGTGATGGCAGGGGGTGCTGGTAAAGGGTTGGGTGGGCATGGTAACAAGCACCAGGCATGGTGCAGCAAGAGCAGGAAGCTGAGAGCAGAACTGGAAGGAAGGTGAGGCTATGAACTCTCAAAGCCCGCCTCCGGTGACACACTTCCTCTCAACAGCACCACCAACTGGGAGCCAAGTGTTCAAATGCCTGAGCCTATGGGGAATGTTTTTCACTTAAGCCAGACTCTGAGGTCCAGAGAGGAAGACCTATCAGCTGAGTTAGCTAAAGCCACAAAGAAGCAAGGCACATGACGTTGACTCAAAGCAACAGAACTAAATCCCTTTCCCAGCTGGGACACCTTGGACAATTCCTGTAAGATAGGAAGAGCAAGCAGTGTAGTTTTGCAATTGGAAAATGTATTTGGAGACCCTGGAGTAGAACTTGGAACCTACGGGACTGCCCCAGGGTGCTGCTGTTTTTATTATTCTCTGGATCACTCATCTGCCTTTTGTGAAGAGTCAAAAATGTTAGAGGATGGAGTCTGGAGCCTTCTTCCAGGGTCAAGATGAGGCTGGCTGGCTCCATGACAGACCTTGGTTAGTGCTGTGACGGAGCACTTACGTGCAGAGTGCCTGCTGCTACAGCGAACTCCGTGGTCCCAGCTCACACAATTCCCCCGGAAGGCTTGTGGGGTGGTGCAATCTACGCTGTTGAGATTAGAAAACAGACCCAGAGAGGTTCTGCAATAAGTCAGCAGCAACAAGGAACCTGGGGTGGCCTCGCCCGTCCAGTTGTTTCCTGAGCCCATACAGCTTGGGCTCTGAGATCCCAGCCACACCCAGTGGCCAGGCAGCTGGTAGTGGGTGAGGCTCCAGGCAAGGCCTGCCCGGCTGTGTGCATTTTATTCTATCCTTGAAACAGCTGAGGGCACAGTTCAGGAGGCTGGAGTTAATTAAGGGTTTGAGCTGTCTGTCTGTGCAGGCCCCTCCCTTTCTCCGGGTGTTGGTCTTGCCTGTGAAACTAGGATTAGACTTTTGTGGGCCCTCCCAGGAAGGCCTGGGCGTCAAGGGGAGATAAGTAGGTGGCAGGCCTGAGGGATAGCTAGTACACTCTCACACTGCCAGCCCTAGAGCCTTTGCAAGCAATCAGGTCATGCAGGGACTGTGAAATGAGACCATAACCACAGGCTGGCTCACGCCTTGAAATGCTTTTTAGAGTTAAGCTCTCTCATTATACAGCGTGGAAACTGAGGCCTAGATAGGTCAAGTTGAGAGTGGAAACCTGCTCCATTCTCCCTACACTCCTGCCCCATTGTTGATAGGGATTGAACATGTTAGGCAGGAGCCCTGCCCCTGAACCAGACTCTTAACCCTTCTTTCCCCATTTCTCTTTTAGGGCTGTGCCAGGCTTGAAGCTCAAAATTGCTGGCAAGTCTCTACCCACAGAGAAGTTTGCCATCCGCAAGTCCAGACGCTACCTCTCCCCCAACCCCATCTCACTGCCAATCCCTGCTCTGGTGAGTAGGAAGACAGCCTCTGGGGCAGTTGGATGAATGGATTGGAGAGGGTTTCACAATTCACCTGGGCTGGGGTGACCGGCCAGCAGGCTGCAGCTGCCTCAAGGCAGCAAGAACAGCTCTCCCAGATACTAGACAACACCCAGCCCCAAGCAGAGGGATCCCCTGGCTGTCTTGTTCCTAGAAAGACTGTTCTGTTGTCACAGGATTCTAATCACTACTTACGCTGTCTTCATTAGATCAATCTTTTCTGAGGTGAGGGTGGGGGTCTCAGCTCAGATTATGTTTGACTCTGAACAAAACCTGCATGGCAAGGGGTGTAAGGCCTAAACCAGGTCAGTAGAAGGATGACCGACCTTGTCTAGCCCACAAAATCTGAACTCAGCTGTGAGGCTCCAGAGCCTAAATGCAGGGCCACTGTTAGGCTAAGTCCATGCATGGTTGGAGCTGGTATCAGATAATCTGAGTCCAGAAGAGGAGGAGCCCTGCTTTGCTTGCTGGAGTACTTTGTAGTCCCAGCTCTCCCGTTCAAGAGTGTGTGACCTCAGGGTCCTCCTACTGGGAAGTCAACATCTTCATCGGCTTCTGGCCCATTCAGGCAGAGGTGTGAGAACCCATGACGACTTGTGTCATACTTCCTAAGCTGACCTTTTCTACTTCGTTTATTCTGTTTAGAGCTTGTATCCTCTGTAAGCTTTGAAGTATTTTCCATGCTGAGTACAGCAGCACATACTTGTAACCCCAGCACTGGGAAGGTGGAGGCAGAAGGGTTCTCCTCAACCTGCATAGTGAATTTGAGTCTGGGATACATGAGACCCTGTCTCAAAAAATTTTTGGTTTAAAATGTACAATAATTATTATGATCAAATGGGGAAGAAGGTATTATAGGAAGGCAAGGAGATGTGACTATACCCACAACTTAAATGCTACTTATGTAGAAAGTGATCCATGACCCAGTCCACTGGGAGGGATAGGCCTAAACCAGGCTACATACTGCTGATTCTTCTAGAGCCTTTACAGCCAGTTTCTATCCGAGACCACAGAGCAACTTCAAGAACACTGATCTAAATCTGCACTGTATAAGACTTTGTAACAATCTTTCATGGCTTTACACGGACTGCATTCATATCCATTACCCAGCTTGATGATTTAGGAAATGTGACTCTAAGCTAACAGAAAACTCAAATATTAAATTTTCATTTTCAATATCAGTCAAGGAGGAAAAAGGGAATCAGGATTCCTGTTTTCTAATTCCCAATGAAGAGGCTGCCATTTTTTAGGCCACTGTTGTCAGGGTGAGGGTCTTAGGCGCCGCTGTCTTGAGGTGCTTCATAGTTTCCTCCAGTTAGGGAAGTCCTGCCAACTGGAACAGGGAGGGCTTCCAGGGCAGGGGTGGGCATGACCCACCCCTCAAGGAGGGAGGAGTCTGGGTAAAGAGAGGGTATAATAGCATTCATAACGGCTGCAGCACGCAAACAGCTGAAACCTATTGGCAGTTGAGCCACGCTAAATCCTCATGGAATATGACTCTCAATAACAAATCCCTGGTAAGGCTGCCTCCATAAAGCCCTCGGCCCTACAGCTTCACAGTCTGGGAGAAGACCTGGAAGATCAGGGATCCAAAGGCCTCAGGCCTTTTGAACTGAGCTGCCTGTTTTACAGATGGGAAAACTGAGGCCCTGCTGAGGCAGAGACCCAGGACTGACTTGCCTCACTCCCACTCTCAGGAAATGATGTACATCTGGAATGGCTATGCTGTGATTGGGAAGCAGCCAAAACTCACAGATGGGATGCTTGAGGTCATCACCAAGGCCGAAGAGATGCTGGCAACTGGCCCAGGTGATTACCCTCGGCTCTTGAACCTGCCAGGCTAGGTCAGGTCTTTCGAGTCGAAGGCTCCTCTGCCAAAGCTGTCCTCTCTCATTCCGCTGTCCCGGTAACCAGTCTTCCAGAAGACCAGCGTTAGCTCCTCTAAGCAAGTGTCCCTCGTCTCCTTGTCCAGGCCTTCTCTTGAGTTCCTCCAGTCGCTCCTAATTCACTCTGGAGCCATTATCTCAGCATCTGTCTTCTCAGATGTGAGTCCCCTGAGGTGAACTGTGTCAGATCACCTGTGTCCCGGGCTCCAGAGGGGCTCCCTGAGCACCTGTTGCGGAAGTGAGCAAGCCTCCCTTCTCCCCCACACCCTCCTTCTCAGAGAACGAGTACTCAGCTGATGACGACTGCCTGGTCAAGCTGCTGAAAGGCCTGTGTCTGAAATACCTGGGCCGGGTCCAGGAGGCAGAGGAGAACTTCAGGAGCATCGCTGCCAAGTAAGTGCTTCTGGCTGCTCCCGCTGGGCTCGGCTTCTCCACCCCCCACCACCACAGTGGCTATCTCCAGTCAACCATTCACCATACATGTGCTGGTGTCTACTCTGTGTAAGGATAGAGCTGATGGTTAACTTGGATATTTATGGCACACACTTTTTTTTTTAACATATATAATCAACTCTGTTCATTTTTTTTACAGGAAGGTTGTTTATTTTTTCTGAACATTTATTATGTATAGTGTTCTGTCTGCATGTATGGCTGCATGCCAGAAGAGGGCACCAGATCTCATTACAGATGGTTGGTAGCCATCATGTGGTTGCTGGGAGTTGAACTCAGGACCTCTGGAAGAGCAGCCAGTGCTCTTAACCTCTGAGCCATCTCTCAGCCCGGCACATGTTTTTAATCCCAGCACTTAGAAAGCAGAGGCAGGAGATCTCTAAGGGTTGGGGGCCAAGACATAGTGAGACTTTGTTTCAGTAAATAAATTTGGAAGTTTAGCAGCTAGACAAAAGCAAAGGAGAAAGTTTTAAGTGGAGTGTGGCTGGACACAGGACACATACCAGCTTCGGGTGACAACAGTGAGGACCTGTCCTACCTGACTAAAACTATGAAGGCCAGACTAAGGGCCTGGTCTTCACAGGACTAAGCCAGCCCGCAGATGGGAGTCAGTAAGGGATAGGGAAGGAAGACAGTCTGTCTCCAGGGCAGCATGGGGCAGAGGGTACCAGACAGGGAACAGGCTTCCCAGCTTAACCGACCATTCAACCTGGAGAAGCAGTGGTTGGGACTCAAACAGGGAGGTGAGCTAAGGCCATGTGGGACACAGTCTGAGGATCCCAGCTTTCCTAAGAGAAGGAATATGAAGTTCCCAGAAGCGGACCTGAAGGATGGACCATGTCTGCTTCTATTCTGCAGTGAGAAGAAGATTAAATATGACCACTACTTGATCCCAAATGCCCTGCTGGAGTTGGCCCTGCTGTTCATGGAGCAAGGCAGAAACGAAGAGGCCATCAAACTCCTCGACTCTGCCAAGTAAGACTTGGTCAACCCCGTATTTCCTATGGTGCTCCCACAGAACCGAGGTGCCCAGGCACCAGTGAGGCTGCCGGCAAGGGCAAGTGTTCTGGGAACGCAGCTCTAACCTGCCACAACCGAGCTTTCCCCTCAGCTTACAAATTTAGCTGGAATTCTTGAGACAAAGGCCCACCCTAAGCCAGCTACAAAGCTGGTATAAAGACCCAAGTGTCCTGACTTCAAGCTCAAGGGCCCAACAGGACCAAGATGACAAGAGGGCCTGGCAGCAGGGTGGGAGAGTACAGCCTTTGAAATGAGCCTTCCATTGCTTAGGGCTTAGCTCTTGTCTTGAATCCCTCAGTGTCCTGAAAACTCACTTTTCAGACTGTATAAGGATGGTGGTGGTGTCTCACATAGCTCAAACGTATGATACATTTCCCACAACAGCCAAGCCTCTTGTGTCTGATCCTTTGCTCCCCTTTAGGCAAAACTACAAGAACTACTCCATGGAGTCGAGGACACACTTTCGAATCCAGGCAGCCACACTCCAGGCCAGATCTTCCCTGGACGGCAGCAGATCCACAGTTTCATCGGTGTCCTTGTAGCTTTTGGCAGCAGCACTCCTGGGCTCAAAGAGGAACACACAGCTAGCTGGACAGAGCTCCTGGAAACATTTCAAAAGATCCCCCTCCCTCTGCCTTCCTTGGGGTCCACCTGGTGCTCCTGTGGGATGCACAAGAAGATCTGTGCAGAAGCAGAGACAGCGTTTTTACCAGTGTGGCCAAGGCCTTTGCCAGGGGCAGAGCAGGCGGAGCCCTCTGCCAGTCCTATCACACATACGGGTACTTGTTTTACACTGTGATGTTCAAGAGAATGTATGAAAGTTTACATTTCTTTAGAAATACATTGATGGGATTATAGTTGGCCTTTAAAAAAAAAAAAACCTAACCAAAAAATAATTGCTGTAAATCTGTTTTCACCCATTGTGGAAGTAAATCTCTCTACATGCTGCCAAGGCCAAACTGCTTTTGAAATCTCAGCAATGTCTTAGTTTTTGAGGGTAGAACAGGGGCGTTCCTAGTATCTGAACTTCAAAGTTCTATACACAAAATTCCAGGACAGCCAGACTGTCTAAAAAATAAACTAAATTAAGTTGCTAGCATTTAAAAATGAGCTTTCATGAATTTGGAATTTTGTCTTCTAAAGGCAGGAGAACCCAAAGTTCAGTTATTCTTGGAGAGTTTGAAGCCAGAATGAGATACGTAAGACCCTGCTCTCAAAACACAGTCAACCAAACCAACCAGTTCCATGAGTGATAGAGGAAGCAGCTTTGGGATTCTCATGAGGAAAAGGCCAAACAAAACCCTTCATTCATGGCCCCTTTTCATACGTAGTGCTGCTTTTCTTCAGAACCACACAAAAGAATCTTTCCATACACAGCAAGCCCTTTCCAAGCGTGTTCTCTTTCTGAGTCCTAGATGTGGAGACCAACCTGGCAGTGCTGGGGAGGGGTGGTTCCTCGAGGCTTCCAATATGCCAAAGTGGGCAGTCACATGACACTAACACATGCGATGTCAACTGCAGCTTATGAGACGAGACGGGTCTCAGAGTCTCACGTGCTTTTGCCTCCATTTCAAAATGTAGGGATGGCTTCCTCCCGCCGTCCTAGTTACTGCTGCTGTTTTCCTGAATCAGCCCACATTTACCTCGGATGTTCTCCTTAATCAGCCCACCTTTACCTCCACTGCCCTGGCTGCAGTTTGGCTAATGACAGTTTAAAGGATTAAGCCTCTTGGATCCCACCTGTAGCTCTCTGAGCTAGTCTATGAAAAAGAACACTGGGTTTCTAAATCCTATCCTCAGGTAGGGGGTTTTGAAGATGGAATCCTATCCTTGGCTCCTCCATGTCCTAAGTCATTCTGGCTCACTCCTTCTCTAGTGCAGACTTTCATAGCACCTCTGCCTGGTAGGAGACTGTGACAGCTGGAAAGCCCTGAGGGCAAGTGATTCTCACTTGCCAAAGCCCAAATCCTGTGCCACACACCAACAGTTGCCAGGGAAGCAGCAACCGTACCAGAGGATCTGAACAGTCCCTTGACAATGCTGTCTAGCTCAGCTGCCCACCTGGCCTGCAGGGTGGTTGGCAATACTCTGGCCCTATCAGCTCTCCCACACCTTGGCAGGTTTCCTATCATCCCTTGAGTCAGAGTGGGAGTGTTTCCAATACAGCTATCACCATTCACAGCTAAAAGTCACAACCCGATACCAAATTGTGGCCCCTAAAAGGCCAACCTCAACCCAAGGCTTGGCTCAGGCCCAGGTGGGAGATTCCGAGCAAGAACTGTCAACATGAGAAGAGGCCTTCAGAAAGTCTCAATATGCTGGGACCACTTAACAAAACAATCTATAAATCCAGTTTATAATTTTGAGGTTCTTTAATTCTAAGATGATAGGGAACCAACAATCTCCTATTTTGGGAGGGGAGGGTTCTGAGAGGGTTTTTCTGTGTAGCAACTTCTTGTCCTGGAACTCAATCTGTAGACCAGGTCAGGTTGGCCTCGAACTCATAGAGATCTGCCTGCCTCTGCCTCCCAAGTGCTCTGATTAAATGTGTGTGCCACCACCACCTGGCAACAATCTCATCTTTTACTTCAAATATACAGCCTTTCAGAGTGCCTCTTTAACAATTTCCTGATGTCCGTATGACAATTACAGTTAATTGAGAAAGGTGGATTCTGAAATCTAAGCAGTTAATGGGAATATCTCTTACCTGCTGTCAGCTACAACTTTTCAAGGTTACAAGGTGCCATTCTGCTGGGGTTAGCACAACTAGTATTGAAAAGTTCAATACTGACCAATAACATAAACCCACAACCAACCTCATCTGGGAGCTTGAGAATTCATTCTTGAATGAGCAACTATAATTTGTTCCCAATTCCTGCTACAGCCAGCTAAAAGCAGCAGAGCTCTTCAGAGGCATACAGTTGCTAACAGTTGATAAGCAGACATCCAGAGGCATCACTGCTACCACCTTGTAAATGACTGTGAAGGGCTGTTTTCCTTAACAGTAAGGAACACTTCACAATACTGACATCAGCTAGACATGGTGACCCACACCTGTAATCCCAGTGCTTGAGTGGTGGTGGCAGGAAGATTAAGGGTCATGTTGGGAGGTGATGGTATGGTGCATGCCTTTAATCCAAGCATTCAGGCAGAGGCAGGTGAACTTCTGAATTCAAGGCCAGCCTGTTCTACAGAGTGAGTTCCAGGACAGCCAGGGCTACAGAGAAACCCTGCCTCAAGGGAAAAAAATTCAAGGACATATGTATGCTACACTGCTACATACTGAGTTCAAGGCCAGCATGGGCTATCTCAACCAATCACTGAAACAGGAAAAAAAAAAATCAAAGCCTTTGTTCTACAGAAAATAATAGCTAATAAGTGCTCACAATCTGCTAGTTGCTACCAAACTAGCTGTAATCCTTCTAAGTACCCTATGAGGTAGGGACTGATTGTTTTGTATTCAAGATGAGAAAAAAATAACTTGCCTAGGATCACAGAGCCCTCATGTATCCATCACAAAAATTTGAAACCAGGCAGCTGAATTCTAAAGCCTAATTTGCTAAATTGTTGGCCAACCTACTATCAGTTTAATGCCTAGCTCACAACGAATCTTGGGGCACTGTGAAAGATGGAAGAGGTACTGGCTAATTCCACCTTTGGGAATTTTGTTAACACATGGAGTATATATGACATGGGTCCCTGTGTCCCACGTGGCACCAGAAGATACTGAGGTCTAATCTAAGTTCAACAAAGACAAAACAAAACAACCATCCAAACAAAAACACTTAATAGTTGGGGCTGAAGAGAAGGCTTAGCGGGTAAAGCTGCTTGCTGACCAATAAATATGAAGACCTGAATTTGGATCCTAAGCATCCATGTAAAAAACAAACAAAAAATGCAGAAGTGCACACCTGTAACTGAGCACTGTGGAGGCAGAGACAGGTGGATCCCTGGAGCTCACAGACACACACAAAAAACCTAGCAAGATTTTCTGACCTATGTACACATCTACAAACTTGTTCATGAACATCACTGAGGCATGATGGAGGACACTGATCCTCATCTGGACAGATAAATTCAGACCAACCTGTACAGTTGGGAAGGCAAGGCTACAACACATGCTAGAGGTGGTTTACAGTAGGAAGTAGGAACAGTAAGGGTGGTATACACTGCTAGACACCCGAACCTTAAAAATTAATTTTTAGGGCTGGAGAGAGGTTTAAGAGTACTCCTGATTTTCCAGAGGACCAAGTTCAGTTCCCAGCAGCCATGTTGGATGGCTTACTACCATCTTCAATTGTCCAGCTCCAGGGGTATCTAATGCCTCTACCAGCAACTGTACTCATATGCATGTACACACATACACACACATTCTCTTAAAGATCAATACATTTTAAAAAAGCCATTTTTTATTTTGTGTGCTTGTGTGTTTGCATTTATACATGAGTACATGTAGGAGCCCACAGGAAGACATTGGATGCCTTGGAGCTGGAGTTATAGATAGCAGTGAGCTGTCTGTAGTGGATGTTGGAAATTTAACTTGGGTCCTCTGCAAGTAGAGTGAAAAACAGCAAGCAGCGCTTTCTCTCCAGGTCCCAACTACAATCATGTTTTTTAGTTGGGTGTGGTGGCCTCATGCCTATAATTCCAGCATTTGGGAGGCCAAAGCAGGATAGCTCAGGAGTACAAGGCCATCCTGGGATATAGAATAAAGACTGATTTAAAAAACTAACCAGTGTTTTTTGTTTAGTTTTTCTGAGACAGAATATCACTATGTAGCCTTGGTTTACCTCAAACTCAGAGATGGACTGTTGTGCACCACTAGGCCCAGACTCAACCAATGTTTTAAAACTACTAATAACTACTACCTGCTCACCAGGCACCCCCTATTTTAGTTATTATCTCACCTACCAGTTCAAATGATCCATGGGTCAGAATCCTAAAAAGTCCTGGGGGGCCAACAAGATGGTTCAGTTTGACATGCAGGCCTGACCACCTGAGTTTGATACCTGGCATCCATAAGTGGAAGAGAACGGATTCCCAAAAGTTACCCTCTGCCCTCCACGTGCCTGCCAAGTGCTTATGTTACCAAGGATTACAATTATGTAACCAAGTCACACAGCACAGTTCCCCAAGAAGCCTGATCTTTGGCGTGACTAAATTGGACCGTCTCTAGTGCTGCCATTTTTGGCTTTGCTCCTGTATTAGACGTTCTCTTCCAGTGGCTTTTTGACATGACAGGGTGCATGGCACTTCAGGGCTTCTAGCCTTAACTGACTGGTGAGTGGCACAAAGGATTTCTTCTAACTCCAGTATGCAGAATGCAGGGAGGGACAAAATTTGGCCTGGCTCAACATCTATCTATTACTCAGGCAAGAAGTTCAAAGTGTAAGTCTCTGACTGCTATTAGCATCATTTGTGAACTTAAGGCCCAGAAAGTCTTCCAGATGAATCTGATGCACACTCAAGTTCCTGAGGCACTGGCTAGGAGAGAACTGTCAAATGGAGAGATGTGCTGCTGTCCCTTCCTGCCGACTCCCAATCCCTCCTGAGCCGGGTCTCCTTGTGTAGTGTTGGCTGGCCTGGATCTGCCTTGGCCCCCATGTGCCACCACGCCTGCCTTCAAACTCTATGAGACCTCCATCTCCATCAGAAGTGCTCAGATTCCTGAAGAGTCCTCTTCATTTACAAAACAAGTGTCATACTTTTGTGGGGCTTACTCTGATAAGGAAGAGATATAAACACAAAGAATTGGTTGGGTTGGAGAGATGGCTCAGCAGTTAAGAGTACTGGCTGCTCTTCCAGGTCCTGAGTTCAATTTCCAACAACCACATGGTGGCTCACAACCATCTGTAATGAGATCTGGTGTCCTTTCTGGCATATAGGTGGACATGCAGACAGAGCATTCACATATATAAATAAATAAATAAATCTTAAAAAAAGAATTAGTCGTAGAGTAAAAATAAATGGGTGTGGTTTAGTTCAGAGGATAAGTATGTAAGGAGCAAGCTACAGGGAAGAAATGATAATGTGAAAGGTTTTACAAGGTTCAAAGAGGCTAGATGGCAGAGTCCTATGAAAAGAGGCAGAAAGCCATTTCATGCCAGTTTCTTTTCATTTTTCTATGTAGTTTTCTATGTAGTTTTGAGTTTATAGTTTCTCTGTTGCCCTGGCTGTCCTCAAACTTGCTTTATAGGCCAGGCTGGCCTCAAACTCAGAAAGATCTGCCTGCCTCCGCCTCCTGAGTGCTGGGATTAGAGGCGTGCTCCACCACAGCCCAGTTGGATTTTATTTTCAGTCCAACAAGAAGCTATTAAGAGTTTTAAGCTGGGGAATGACATCATTCAACTGATCCATAACATTATTTTAGCTGCTACATGAAGAATAGATTATCTGGGGTTAAATGTGGCCTACTGTTTCTGGTTTGTCTAAAACACAAAATTTTGTGCCTTCCTTCACCAGAACTAGATAATCACTTGGTAAGAGTTAGCCTTTCACAGTCATGTAATGGTAGAAGTAGAGAATCAACTCTACAAAATTATCCTTGACCACATGTATACTATTCACCTACATACATTCTCTCTCTCTCCCCCTTTTTCTTCCTCTTCTCCACTCCCTCTCTTCTTTCCTTCTCTCCCTTCTTCCCTCTCCCTCCCTCTCATGTATGTGAACTGTGGAGCAGAGAGCAGGGCCCAGAGGATACAAGCTGATGAAGCAGAGCCATGATGTCCCAGATTTGAGGACCTAGAGGAGATGAAGTTTAAGACAGGCAAGGAAGTTACCCTCCAAAGGGAAACTCCTCTTCAATACCCCAGACTGCTCTCTGATCTCCATGTATACACCCATGTAATCAACACAAACCTTACATAAAGAGTGATGATTTTTAGTCAATAATGATAACCATTAGTGCTTGTTGTTCAGTGTTATAAAAAAATCTATTCATGAATAAAGTGAAAAAATTAAATTGTGCAGGTAATTGTGAACTTTTATATAATTTCACTGGACCTAACTAATGAAAACTTTATGGATCAGAAAAAAAGGTCATAAATGCCTGATCTAGATTTTCTGTACCATGCTAAGCAGCAAGGAAGGAAGCAAAGGACACATAGAAGAAGCCTATGTAACCTTGCCTAGGAATTGGGTCACAATACCGAGCATCAACACTCTGTCAATCAGCTAAGGAAACAAAACACTACAATGTCCTAAAGCAAACCTCACAGCAGCATGGGAAAGGATCATCCACCAGTTATTCTAAACTCTGCCAGCATCAGCATGGCTTGGAGACTGCAGCGGTTTGAGTACGAAATGTCCCCTGGGCTCACAGTTCAGTACCTGGTCCCTCTGGCAGCACTGTCTGGGGAGACTAGGGACCCTCTGGGTGGCCTAACCTTGTGTGTATTTTTCCCAGGGGTAGACTTTTGAGACTTCGGTTCTTGTTCTTCCCTTCCTGTGTGCAGATGAAAGGTGGGGTCTCTCAGCTTCCTGCCCTGCTGCCCTGACTTCTCTACCGTTGTGGACATCTAGCCTACCCTCTGGAACAAGGGATCCTAAATAAATCTTCAAGTAACAGAAAAGTAATTACTACCGAGACTAAAAAAATTAGATTTGTTTTCCCTCTGCAACTAAAGGGATGAGAGTCTGTGTTATTAAATTCAGACCCCACACAGAAGTAACTGAGGATGACCTCTGACCCTCCCAATTGCAGGGGTCATGGACATGTTCTACTGTACTGAACATTTATGCTTCTGATACAAACAGTGAAAATTCTTTCAGGGACTGCTTTTGATACCGCTCTGGTAAATATCATGTGGGTGGTCAATCAGTGATTAGTACAATGCAATGACTGTATTTTTTAAAATTTGTTTTATGTGCATTGGTGTTTTGCCTGTGTGTATGTCTGTGTGACAGTGTCGGGTCCCCTGGAACTGGAGTGAGTCGCCACGTGGGTGCTGGGAATTGAACCCGGGATCTCTGGAAGAGCAGTTAGTGCTCTTAACTGCTGAGTCATTTTAAACATAAAATTAGCACCTAGGAGTCTTCAGAAATAAAGTCTAGATGAGATAAACACTGCAACAGGGGTCACAGATTGGTTTTTTTTTTTGTTTTTCTACTTCTTTCCCCCAACCTGTAAGAGTAGATACTTAAGTTCAAGTAAGTAAATTTAATATTACTTTAGAGTTATTAAGTAAAAAAGCCAACTTTCCTTGTGTTCATAAATTTCAAAACTAAAGGTTAAAAATTAGTTTGAGCTTACTACTTTAGTGAAGATACATTTGCATTCAGGTGCAAGCAAATGACTAAGAAATGATTGCTACTGCTATAAAAATAGTTGATACCCATAATCCCAGTGCTGAGGAAGCCAAGACAGGCTGGACTACACAGTGTGTACTAGGCCAGCCTGGGTTACAAAGTAAGATCCTATCTCATAAAAGAACAGATTGTATCTATAGGTAAACAGACTATTTTTTGTTGTTGGTATTGGGACTGAACTCAGTGCCAACGAGTGAGGTAGGGAGGTGCTCTACCACTGAGCTGCATATCCCCAACACATCACTGAAGTACTGTCAGTCTTAAGTGTATCTAGGAAACTCACCCTCCTTCCTTTCCACCACTTTCAGTCAAGACCTCAGGGAGCTCTGGTTCAACAGCTGTTCTTTAAAATGCTTCTTTCTGGGCTGCAGAGATGGCTCAGCACTGCTTGCTCTCCCAGTGGGCTCAATTCCCAGCACCCACATGGAGGTTCATCACTGTCTGTAACTCCAGCTCCAAGGGATCCGACACCCACTTCTGGCCTCCACAGGCACCAGGAACACAAGTGTTAGACAGACATATAGGCAGGCAAAATATCTATACACATAAATAAAATTTTAAAAATGCTTTCTCCCTAATGAAGGAACTTTTTATGTAAAGAACCTTAATGCCTTATGTCCTGTGAAATACACAGACACACAGAGGGGTGGGGTAAGTCTTCCACTACCAATTAAGAGATTCCAAGAATGTATATATAACTTTATATATATATATATATATATATATATATATATATATATATATATC